TGGAGCGGACAGGAGTCAACTCCACACAGAGCAGTGCCACCGCTGACCAAGAGGCACCAGTGTAAAATTTAGGCCACCTGGACGTTGTGTGTCATGATCAGTGGGGCATCCCTTAAGCCAAGGACCATCTGCGTGTGAAATATCTGGGTTTATTCACAAGTGACTCGGGGCAACTGTTGTCTTTTCAAGAGGATTCACCATAAGATTCTTATAAATAGCTCTCCTAAAGCAGTTCAGTGATACCAACTGTTCGCAGCAATTTTATAGGAACCCCTTTATGACCTCACGTTGCTTGCCAGATGCCACCTCAATCCTGACATGGAACTCAAGGCCCTCTAGCAACAAGCCCCTCCGATCCTGTGGAACTGCTCCCAGGATGCTCCCCTAAGGCCTCCTACTCCTGCCAGGCAGAGTCTCCCCGGTGTCTGTGACCATAACTCGCCTCTCTCCTCCCCGTGGAAGGCTTACTCCTTTCTTTCCTCCAATCTGTGCTCGCAATGCCTTCCAGACCCAGCCAAAACCACACTATGGGAGGCTTGTCCCCGGGGCCCCTTGTGCCCTGGAACGTTTGATGTTAGACCTCACCTGTCCACCCCACGTATGAGTCTCACCTCCTCACCCCACGCTGTGGGGAGAAGGGGGGGTGCAGGGAAGGATGGCGTGGGCCATGATGTCAGAACACCAGTGGTACCTCTGATCTATACCTACACGTGGATGGCCTAGGCCTGATCTCCTCGAGCTCCAGTGACCTCCTCCACAGGACAGTGGCTGTCACCACTCCCAACCCACATGGTGAGAATCAAACGGGATATGGACATTAGAGCTTTATAAACTGGGACGTCTGTCAGATGCCAGGTAAACTATCAGTGGGGGCAGCTCAGTACAGTGGATGGGCTGGGCTGCAGCAGGCAGCAGGCACACGCTGTTGGACGGGGGAGCTGACCTAATTGTAGAGGCACAGTCTAAACGCACTGAAGGATTCCAGAGGTCTGGTTATCAGCCTTTTGTTCTGTCTCAGCACTCTGGGGGATACATCACGTTCCCACAGTGGCTCAGTGTGACCTGTCAGAATTTGTGAGGGGGTATGGAGGGTTGGGGGAAAATCAGCATTTTGGGAAACGTCCCTCAGGTGGTTCTAATACATGTGCCTACCTACCCAGTGGGAAGTTCTGATCTCCAAAGCATCTTGAGAAGATAGAATTTCTCCCTATGGGAGACTGGCGTTCTTTTAGTCAGCCTTTCCTATAAATATCCATTTTAAATTGAAGCTATTGGTAGCATTATTTTCTGTGCTGTAGTGAGTACCATGCAGGTGACTGCCTAATTACACTGTGTTTATATGAAAGTGTTCCAACAGAAGACCACAGAACAGAGTTATCAAAAATAGCAGCCTTGTAATGGCAGTCTGGTTGTTTCATTAATTACTAATGCAGAGTTATCCTTTAAAAGCAGTACTGTGCTTGAAGACCTGTCAGATTAGCAGGCAGAAACATCTCCCACTTCGGAGTCTGTTTCAATGTCTACACAGGGTTAGAAGATGCTCCACCCTATATGGATGGGAACTCTGCTGGGAAAAGGAGAACATGGGACAGGAAGCCTGGTAAACACTCAGCCATCATGCACCCCACAGAATCACTAATCAACTGTCTAAGGGAAGGGAAGAAATATTAGTGGAACTCCAAAAAGATGGAGAGCTTTCCAGTGCTAGGGAAAGCAAGCCAATTAGTCCCCTAATGCACTCGACACACAGTACATCACCAAGGAACTTCTATATTGCATGGTGGAAAAAGCCACAAGACTGAAGACTAAAAACTCTGCCCACTGATCCATTGGCCCGTGGGAGAACCTCCCCCACCCCTTGTCAGTGACTGTCATCAAACATATTTGTCTCAAAGGCCATTGTCAAGTGTTCATGGCAAAACCACCCTCGACTCCAAGAAGCTGAGACCAGCAGGAAGCTGGGCATCCTTTCCCAAATCGCAACCCCATCCAAGCCCCCCACAATGTGTTCTAGAGTCCTCCAAAGCTGAAAAATGTGGTCCAAGAAGGAAAAAGAATGAGAAGGGGGCCAGGGGAGGAGAGGAAGGGAGGAGGAGGGAAGGAAGAAAAAGCCTCACGGTGAGCGACGGTGAGCCTCCGGGAGACCGCGGCCAGCAGCCCCACTGCCTGGTCAGAGTTTTCTCATTGCGAAAGCATCAGGTAGCCAATTTGACAGGTCCCATTCATAAAATATTTTCCTAATAATTGTATAACTGCTTAGTTTAGATTTGAGACTAGAAATTATACACATCAGGAGAAAAAAAAGCCCTGAGAAGGTATCTCATTCAATTAACCTTATTCCTTTGGGGTGAGGGCGGTAGATGTGCTCACTTGGGGAGGGTAATGCCTTTTGTGCATGGGTTTGATATGAGGGAAATCTTTACTCCTGGTGACAAGGGGTTAAGATAATTAAAATCAGAGAAGTCTTGTTACTAGAGGACATGTTTTGATTATTAGATCAGATGAAGATAAGAGAGAAATAATTTTGGAAGAAGTATTGCTGAACTATTTCATTAACTGCACAGTATTAAAGAATTCCCCCAAGATAAGGATAAAGAACATTAATCTGTGCAACTGTGTTTCGTTTTTTTGTGAAGGCAAACATTACAATCTTAACTGATTTAGAAGAAGTTGCTCCATCATAGAAAATGGAAGGTCTACGACCCCCTCTCATGTCGTCAGATGCAGAATGTATGAGCCAGGACCTTTAACTGCCAATAGAGGAGAGAAAGGCAAATTATCTAATAATAATGTCATTGCTAGGGTCAGAAATGGCCATCACATGAGAAATTAGATTTAATCTAGAAGTGGAAAATGATTGTGGGCAGGAATCCTGGGCACTTATTGGTAAGCTGATGAGAGAATCAAAACCTCAGGATTTGTCCCCATGGCTGATGACAAAGGTGACCAGATTTCAACCATCTCCCCAAAGACGGCAAAACTGTCTCCTCAAAGAGAACCAGGCACCCACCCCAAAGAGGCAACGAAGAAACCAGCGAGGGTGAGCCATGGGCGCAGCCAGTGTCAGCGAGCTCCGATCAGCACGCTACCAGGAGGACAGGCTTGCGGGAAGCCGTAGCAATTTAGTCCTGGGTTAGAAACACATGATGTATTGAGAAGAAAAGCTGATTTTTTTTTTTTTAAATGAAAATGAGCCGAACCACGTTCTAGAATTATCTTTCAAACCCGCTGCCATCAAGTCAATTCCGACTCATAGTGACCTTATAGGATAGAGTAGAAGTGTCCCATAGAGTTTCCAAGGAGCAGCTGGTGGATTCCAACTGCTGACCTTTTGGTTAGCAGCTGAGCTCTTAACACTGTGCCACCAGGGCTCTGGCAGAATTATCTAATATAACAAAAATTTTCTTTACATTTTTACAACTAACTTCGATTCACTGTATTTTACATATATATAAAGTATATCCATTATATTTAACACATAATGGATATACTTTATAGCCAGTCACTCATTTGCACACAGACTGAGAGGGGCAGGAAGAAATCTGAGTGAGCATTAATACTGGCTGGGGAGGGACGGCAGGGTGGGGAAACCTCTAGCCTGGAGCCCTGTCCCCTCTCTGGCCCTACTCTCCACATCTGTCAAATAAGACACCTCCAGAGGAGTCCTTTCTGGATTTGACATGCTATGATCCTAGGATTCCAGAACTACTTTCCATTATACTAAGTTCAACGGATTGTAAATACCTTAAATGAAGTATTATTTTTAACATATGAAAAAGACTCCAGGTTCTGGATTTGAGATACAAATTTATGAGAAACCTCAAGACGATCTATCTTCTGAATAGGCTGGCCAACAATTCCGTGTTGGGAGGTAGGAGGCTGAACCTGTGGGCACCCCTGTGCTGAAGCAGCATCGATCTTTGGGCCCCTGGGTACAGCACAGGCCTGAGGGCATAGCACCGGGACCCAGAAACATCCCCTGTTGCTCAGGCGCGTGGTCTCCAGGTCTCAGCTCAGCTGAGCTCGAGGAACCTCTTGGCTTCCATTTGGTTGTAGGCACACAGAGAGCCAGAGTTTTCAGGCACTGGGTTCTGAAGCTTTCTTGCTGGGATCATGCTCAGAAAGCCAGGGAAGCCCAACAGAGCTGGCCTGCAGGCACATCTGCAGAGATGGCCTCTGACCTGGACAAACACCTCAGGCCCCACAGCGAGAACACACAGGGCCTCCAGGCAGACACCAGACTTTCTGTCTTGGCAGTTCTCATGTGGCCAACAGTACAGTGGAGAGATGCTAGAGGATGGGGACTGAGACCAAGTGCCAGGGACACTTGTGGTACATGCCAGGAATGGCCCACTGGGAGGGAAAAACAGTCCAGGCAGAAGCTAACTAGAGTTCAGTCTCCCTGCCTCGGGGTTGGGAGCTCTGCTAGAGCCCGTACAGAGACTCAGGACTGCCATGTTTGCTGACGATGAGCAGTTCTCTCCCACACAAGACTCCCTCCAGAAAGGAGCTCCAACGGAGAGCGAACACGTGCATCTGAGTGATGCGTCTGAGGGGAACCTCAGGCCTTGTTTACGCTGCTCTCATTTCAGGGGAAACCTTTTGTTGAAGCTCAGACTGACAAAAAATCCCAAGCAGGCACTTCTGCCTTTAGAAGAGAATGACATTTTAACCATTACCTTTGCAGACAACAAAAATCAGCTATCCGTTTTGCCATGGCCAAGGCAGGGTAAATAAGGCAGCTTCTGGGACGAGGCCTCCTGCCATTGTCACCATGACCAGTACACACCCCAGACCTCGGGGGCAGAAGTGACCTGCTGAAGAGCTCAGGATGTTGATGGGACCAAGAAGCACTGTGCCAGCCTGACCCGCCTGTCGACCTCGCAGTCCCTCAGTGCCCCCAGGACCCGTGCAGGGACGGAGGGGGTATGGGGGGATGTGTGCGCACACCAGGCCTTCCCCCCAGGTGGCCCCCTCCCGCGGCCTCCCGGCGCCCTTACTTTCAGTGTGCTGTTCTTGGCACTCAGCTGCTGCTCAAGCTGGGAGATCTGGCTGGCCGAGTTTTCGCGCAGCTTCGTGAGGCTGGCCTGGAGTCTCTGCACGTCCTCCACAAGCTGGGCGATCTCCCGCTCTTTGGCGGCCAACTCAACTTCCAGGCTGGAGCGGGTCAGCACCTCTATGGCCTGCTCCTAGGAAGAAGAAAGAAAATGACAAAACTGCACCAGCTTCAGGCAGGTGCTCGGGGCAACTGTGCTGACAACAAGGTGAACACACACAGACTCATGGGTGCGGATGGTGAGCTCACGGCAATACATGACTTCCTGCCTCCGCTTAGACCGAGCCTGCCACAGACTCCCCACACCACCTTCCCACGTATATTGTAGTTAGCTGCCATCTTGATTTATTCACTCAACAAATATTTATTAAGTGCCCACAATGCACTGGCATACAGGAGCGAACAAAAAAGCCAAAAATCCCTGCCTTCACAGAGCTTACATTCTAGTGGGGATGGGTGGGGAGGGGGAGATGCAATAGATAAATGTGTTAGTAGATTACACAGTGTAATAAGTGCTACAGAAAAATATAGGGAAGTGGCATGGGGGCTGGGAGTTGGGAGAGGCTTTATTAAGATGGTCAGGAAAAGGCTTGCTGAATGATATTTGAGCAAAGATCCGGGAGGAGGTGGGGAGGGGTAGCGTGTTCCAGACAGAGGAACAGCAACAGGAAGCTCTGAGGAGGTGAGAAGGGCGCACACCCAGAACGTTCCAAAGCATTCAGGTTTTCTATCACATGATGTGAATCGATGTTCTTTGGTTTCATTATTAAATCAATTATCTGGAAGCTTAGATACTGTTTGATGAGCTGATTCTCAGAGTCACTATTTTCAAATAAGTTAAAAGATGCACGTGGAAAATGTATGTTTGGCGTGCCTTTGCTTAGAAACTCTTATGATATCTGATTTTTTTTTAACTTAAATTTTTTTTCCTCAAAAAATGCTCATTGTGGAAAATATGCAAAACAGAGAAAAGGTATAAAAAAGAAAAACTCATCCATAATTCTACTTTTCAAAGGCTAAAACAGTACTTTTTCAAGTTTTAAAAATAATCCCGGCTCCTGAACGATCTGGGAAACTTTTCCTTGCGGCAGAAGCACGTGTGTGAGTGAGTGACAGGATGTGGAGGACAGGACAGCTCTGGCCCCTGTGATGGCAAAACATGGGGGCAGCTCACGCTGCCGCCAAAATGCCACCATCCCCATTGTCATCCCTTCCCCCTGAAGTGCACTGCTCTGTGTCGATCTTACCCATATTGGGTGGCAGTGGCAGACCCTAGCTGGCACGTGCTACCATGCCCTCCCATGCCCCAATGCACTTGTCATGGGGTTTCCACATTTGGGGACAGTCAGTCAGCCAGGGAAACAAAGTTTCAGATGTTCCTCCTGGGACATTAAGGTCTTTACCACTTAAGACCGTTCAGCTTTGTGTGGGATGCAGTCACTCCTCTGTGTGTCTTTGATTTGTGTCAGGTTGTAAAATCAGGCCTTTGTTTCCCCTGACCCCTGGCAGATCTGCACTCAGCCCTGGGGCCCAGTGAGCATCTTCCTGCAGGTGTATTTATAGCAGGCACATGCTCTCCAGACCAGTCCGACTTGAAGTGCAGGTCATGGACCTTGGCCAGTTAACAAACTGCTGCTGGTGTCCGAAGAGAGAAGCACAGAAAGTGAGAGTGAATGCCTGGAAACTGTTACAGCAGCAACTCCACATTGTTGGGGCACTTTCATTGTCCTTTGTAAAACTGTCAGTCTGCAACAGATTGGAATTGAAAAAACGGAACAAATCTGTCCTTGGCCACAGAGAGCCTGGGAGGCACTGCCCTAAACAACCATGACCGGGACCCACGGCAGGGAGCCTGGGCAGCACGCGGCAGGACAGTAGAGTCTAACAGAACGACGAGGAAGTCACGGGAGGAGGCAGGGAAAGAAGGGAGAGCCGAGCCTAGCTTGCAGGGCTGGTCAGAAAAAAGAAGGGCTCCGTTCTAGGGTGGGAGCCTAGGGAAAGGGTGGGCGCCTTGGTTGGGAGGAACAGGGGGCAGGGCATGAGAAGTGGTCCACATTACCTTTTGAGGGATCATGCTGGCACCTGCTGGGGAACGTTTAGGGGGGCAGCCCAAGGCACCTGGACTTGGGGCGGCCACAGGAAGCCACTGGAGGCTCTGGTGCAGAAGGGGATAGGACAGTTGATGGTGGGTGTAAACTGATCCATGTCTACATAATTTAATTCATTTTATCAACCTCCTATCAGCCAAAAAAAGTGCTTAAAGTGCCGTTAGGAAAAAAGCCTGTAAAATAAGCCAAAAGATGATCGGGGGTTTTAAACGGGGCAAGTATTTGTTAACACATCAGGGATAAGTGGTTTAGATACTAGGCATAAGGATAGCAGCTCTTGGTGCTGGCCCTGGAGCCAGGACAGGCACCTGGGAGTGGGCAGTCCTTCTGTCAACCCCAGCGCCAGCTCTGCCACAAGCTGGTGTGTGACCCTCGGCATGTCATTTAACCCTCAGGAACCCGAGCCACATTCCTCATTCATAACATAGCAGAAATCATTCCTGTCGCGTATAAAGCAAGGTGAGATAACAGACCCCAAAGCCATAAAACCCTGGAGGTAAGAAAAGATCATCTCCTCTCAGCCTAGGCCTGGTCACTCCTGTCTCCAGGATGGGGGGCAGCCCTGGTTGTCCCATCATCAGGACACGGCTGGGAACTAAGAAGGAAATAGAGACGGGCCTGTGGGATGATCCAGGGCTGGTGGGCAAGAGAGGCCTGAGCCAGAGTGACAGAACAGGGCCTCTAAGTCCAAAGAGCACCATCCAGAAAGAAAATCTATGTAACAGCAAGCAAGGTGGGTGCGCTGAGGTGAAGGGGCAGCCATTACAAGTTCAGGGAGGCTGGTGTCAGGCCATTCAGAGTCACTGAGATCACTATTCGAGAAACAAAGTCACAATGGGGCACATGTAGATTCAAAGTGGGCCGGGGCCACTGGTCCCCTTACATCTGTCCAAGGCTCAATTGCCAGGTTCCCTGGCCCTAGCCTGGAGACTGGGATTCAGGAGGGCTGGGGCAGGGCCTAGGAGCTCCCCCAGGGATTCTGGTGGGAGCCAGGCTCAGGACCCTGGCTCAGACGAGCACGTGAAGGAAGGAATCAGGACCCAGGCTCAGACGAGCACATGAAGGCAGGAGTCAGGACCCCGGCTCAGACAAGCACATGAAGGCAAGAGTCAGGACCCTGGCTCAGATGAGCTCGTGAAGGCAGGAGTCAGGACCCAGGCTCAGACGAGCACGTGAAGGCAGGAGTCAGAACCCTGGCTCAGACAAGCTCGTGAAGTAAGGAGCAGAAATGGACTTCCCCAAGCCTGGAACCTCAGCTTTAAAATGTGGAAAAAATGGAAGGGCTTATGATGCCAGTAGTGAGGTGTGTTTTCCAAGGGAAGAGGAAACGTAAAAACGGTAGTTACTCAGGGGGCCTTCCATCAGATTTGTCTCTTTGAACCTGCTTGCCTCCCCTCACTCCCACCTGTTTGCAAGAAATATCACAAGTTGTCTGTCTACGGAGTACTTCCACTGAGACTGGAGCACTGAGACTGACAGGAGCTAGATAACGGGCTCTCTTATCCTGCAGCCATTTCCGTAATAAATACGAATGGAATGCAGAAGTACTACTCAATACAAGGAAACCCTCACTGCAGAATGATGGTAAGGCCAGAACCCCGGCCCGAGATACACAGTGGCAGTCCAGGCTAAGCTTCTAGTTCTACTTGCCCCTCTGAGGGGAAAAGACGAGGGAACAGAAGCCTCCATTTCATATCTCTTTCTTTTTGCCACCTCTACTCCTGCCACCACCAGTTAAACAAAGCGGGCTGGCTTCTATCATAGGTATTCACTTTTTCTAATATTATGGTCTGTTTAGGTTAAAAAAGCCTCTGGTGCACCAGAGCCCTGAACTGATCATATTTGTCTCCAAATACCTCACGAAATAAGGAACCCTGGTGGCACAATGGTTAAGGACTCGGCTGCTAACTGAAAGGTTGGTGGATTGAACTTACCTAGTGTCGCAGTGGGAGAAAAGACCTGGCGATCTGCTCCTGGAAAGACTACAGCCTAGAAAACCCTATGGGGCAGTTCTACTCTTACATTGGGTTGCTATGAGTTGGAAATCGACTCGACAGCACCTAATTAACAACCTAACAACACTTTAAAAGTATCTTCATCTAGAATGTCTCCTTTAGTGCACATGAAGGAGGGGCAGGTTGGTGCTGGGGAAGAAGAATGGACTTTGGAGTACGGCAAACTTAGGTTTAAATTCTGGCTTTATCATTTTCAAGCTGTGTGGCTTTGGGCAAATTACTTAACTCCTCTGAGCCTCAGAAGTTCCCTGGGTGGCACAAATGATTTGCACTCGTCTACTAACCTAAAGGTTGGCAGTTTGGACCCATCCAGCAGTGCCACGGAAGAAATGCTTGGAGATCTACTTCCGTAAAGAGTACAGCCAAGAAAACCCTATGGAGCAGCTCTACTCTGTAACACATGGGATCGCCACACGTCTAAACTGATTTGACGGCAACGGGTTTGGTATGAACCTCAGTCTGCTTATCTGTAGAACGATGATAATAACAGCACCTCTAAGGACTGTGGTGTTGTGAGGCAGAAATGAGATACTCATATGAAGCCCGGCCGGTCCCCACCAGAGCTCTGCAGGTGACCACTCACCTTCTAGGATCGGCGATTCCATTGACCCCCAAAGGATCAGTTTGGGCTTTTGCTACATCTACAGACTCTACTATTTCTCTGACGTGTTATGCCAGCCAAACCACCGTTTTTCCGCTGGCTCCGTTTCCTATGTTCGCTACCCAACTGGCTGGACCTGGAACACCCCGACTATGTGGGAAATGCAGACCCGATGGAAACCCCAGCAGGCTCGCTCTTTGAAGACTGAATTGATGCCATGTAAACACTGCACTTACCGATGATGAAGTGTTTAAGCACCCCTACGATCTACAACTTACTCTACCTGCAAAAACATTCATTTCCTTCTCAAATGTTTGGGTTGCTGCAGTGCTGAATGGTGCCAAAAATCCTTTCAATCAAAACATTTAACTCAGGAGCCCTGTGTAGACACGTTAGAATGCATGACTTCCCCTCGAGAACCAAGTACAACCATAGAGGCCGGAGAGGCTGGTGCTGATCCCATCCCTGAGGGCTTCCTTTCAGCAACGGCATGGTATTCAGGCCCTCTGAACTTGGGTGAGGGCAAAGTAACAGAGCAAAGGGTGCATTTCGGTTAGGATTAAGTAGTAGAGTCCACAAAGTACCAAGGACATGATGGTCCCTTTAATGGAAAACTTTTCTCCATATTCTGAAACACTTAAATCATGTTTTATTTAATGTAATTTAAAGAAAGAAAACTAAAATCCATTCTTAAAAGGTAGCCCTAACATGGAAAATCTGCTTCAGTTCCAAAATGCTGTGTTTCAGATTTACTCCTAGGGAATACAGTAAAACTTGTGAAAGCCAGAACCTGTGCAAAGCGGAAACCTGTCAGAGAAGGAAAACTCAAATATCTTCCACTAAATAGAGTGCTAGAAACGTGGTGACTGCACCCTATCAAAGGTGGAAAACTTGCGAGACCCAGAAAAACAAGGCAGTTCCATGGAGGTGTAGCTCTCACAGGTTTCACTATAGTTTAAAAGCCTGGTCTAGGGAGTCAGGAGTCCCTGGGTGGAATAAATGGTTATCACACTCGGCTGCTAAACAAAGGTTGGTGGTTCAAGTCCACCCAGAGGCACCTTGGAAGAAAGGCCTGGTGATCAACCTCCAAAAAGTCAGCCACTGAAAACCCTATGGAGCACAGTTCTACTCTGACACACGAGGTCTCCATGAGTTGAACGGACTCAATAGCAACTGATTTAGGGAGTCAGAAGACCCCAGTCCAGCCTAGGCTCAGATGCTGACTAACTCTGGGGGAAGGTGTTTATGGTCAGAGTTCCTGCTTCCTCACCTATATAAAGAAATAATAATACCCTGTTTCACAAATTAGGTGAAATAATGGCTGTCAAACTGACATATGAATTTATTACAACAGTAATTTTTTCCTACTAGACTGCTGTCTCTCAGGGAAGGATCTACTCTCATTCTTCATTGTTTTCCCAGTGTCTGCTACAAGCCTTGGCACACAGCAAGGGCTCGATAAATCTTTGTTGAATTAAAAGGACATCTACAATTGCAATACACTTACCATAAGCTATCAGAGCTAAAGGGACCTTACCAAACTAAAAAACCAAACTCGTTGCTGTTGAGTTGATTCCGACTCATAGCAACCCTACAGGGCAGAGTAGAAATGCCCCACAGGGTTTCCAAGGAGCAGCTGGTAGATTCAAACTGTTGACCTTTTCGTTAGCAGCCACAGCTCTTAACTACTGTGCCACCAGGACTCCAAAGGGACCTCAGTATCACTTAATTTTTATTTTACAAATGAGGCAACTAGCCACAGAGTTGAACCTGGTAGAAACTAGGACTCCTGGATCAGAGACAATGACACCAACCACAGTAATGGTACTGAGAGTAATTGCAAAGGTTTACTAAGGACTTACTCTGTGCCAGGCATTGCCCTAAGTGCTTTTCTCACAAAAACTTTTTGAATCCTCGTAAAACTCTTGCTTTATGGAGATGAAACTGAGAGTCAGGGAAGTTAAGCCACGTGCCCAAAGTCACATGGCTAATAAGTTGCAGAGCTGGGATATGAACCTAAGAGTATGGCTGATATCCATGGTCTTACCTACTATGCTGCTCCAAATCACTGCATAGTATTGAAAGGAAAGAGTCTGAAAACCAGTAATTCAAAGTTCTCTTGGTCAAGCTGGGAAAGTTGCAGCTAAGAGCTACTTTTGTTAAACCACGAAGCAAAATGACCAAGGTTTTTGCCTTGCTCTTCCTGAATGCCAGCACTTCAGACGTAAGAGTCCAGTGCTGATGTAAGTCAGAGCAGGTGGTTATTTTATTACCTCATGGGCCTCCCAGCTCACCAGGAACGGTTTTTCACCACGGCAGTACACATCCAGGAGAACAAACTTCCAATTTTCCCTTGTAGTTCTGGCAAGGATTCAGTTTAAGATCTCCATCCGGACAGTGTCAACTACCCTCTGGGCCAGCGTGATCCCCTCTCACCCGCCTCCAGCTCTGCACTGGGAGGCCTCATGCTGACCGTTAAGCATCCGTGCGTAATCAGCAAGGCTTGTCATTTTGACTTGAACAGGTTTCGCCCTTAAACTGTTAAAAGCGCTCGCCACCAAGAAAGCAGTTCTGTTTAAAATATTGTTCCAAAAAGAGACGCGAGGAACAAAAATAACAAAGCAGCTGTAACATAAAGTTGCAGATGCCAGGCGGGCAGGGGCCTGACAGCCGTGACTACCCACCACATCCGGAGCCTTCTGGATCTGCGAGGCCAGCTGGAGAGAGTGGTTGGCTGATGAGAGCTGCTCCCTTAAGGTCTCCGCCTCTCTCTGCGCCACCTCTGCCCTCTGAAGGAAATGAAAAGGGGTGAGGAGAGAAAGTACATTCAGTTGAACAACTGACAATTATTACAAGAACATTTATCAATTCATGCCTGACTGACTATAATTGATTTTCCTAAACACTCAACCTAATAACTGCTAGGAAAAAACACAGAATGTGATGGATTTTTATTTTAAACAGTACACGGAAGAAATAATTGAGCGATTATGACAGTAATTTAACGCTAGCAGCAAGGAATCCCCTGCTGGTACTAATGCTCCGGCCCACTGAATTTCCCAGACTGAATAAATACAAGTGGAAATAGAGTCTTTTGATTCAATTTCTTTCTATTCTCACAGACCAAGAAGATTTTATTGCAGGATTGCTCCTGGGAGTAATTCTCATGGGTAAACAGTGAATTAAAGACACTTTGGCCATTCTCTTCCTAAAACATGCACAGTGTTGTAGTTGTTTTCCTGCACAAAGTATTTCCATAAACGTAAAGGGTGTAAATGCTCCTTCTTTTGTGAAAGCCAGGCTTATTTCAACATATTTAACCCTTCACCTGACAAAGCTTTCTAACACCAGTGCTGATACCGTTAGCCAATCGGAGGCCAGAGGAGGGAGAGCGGGCCTGGTGCTGGGGCTCCAGGAAGAAGAGAGCCGACTGCAGGAGGGAGGCTGCAAGAGAAGCGCCTGGACTCTTCTGTCGTTTGCAGGTAATTCCCAGAGAGGAAAGCAATGCTATCGGGGAGCAAACCAGGATTTCCCACTGGACAACATGGAGCAGCAGGCAGGAGGTAGAATAAGAGATCTGGGCGTTTGGGAGCAGAGGTACCGGGGTAGTTACCTAACCTCTCTAAGCATCTATCTTTCCGTCTCTAAAATGGAACATTACCCCCTTCAGAGACCTTGCAAGGATTCAGGTACATGGAAGTGCACTGCACTCAGCATTCATCAGAAGTATCTTATTAAAGAGCCTGTGCTGGTTTCACAATTATCATGGAAACAAAACTCTTGGGTGGGTGGGAAACGGTGACTGACTGACAACGGGCAGGCGATCTGAAAAGTGACGGGCCCTTCTTCCCACCTAACTCCCATTTGGCTAATGGAAAAGATGAACGAGGAAAGCCTGGCTGAGCAAGGCTAGCACGTGTGTTTTATCTGTGGGGTGACTAGCACGCGTCTGCTAACTGCTAAGAAAGCACTGAAAACAGATCAGAAGTTAGCCTGCCTGGTCCTTGATGACCCGTCGAGTGTTGTATGAGGAGCGGGTCTGGTGGCCTTAAGTGGTTCTGAGGTTGGCTTCCATTCCCGGCAGCATTGTTCTGAGACTCTACCTGCTCTGCACACAGACAAATGAGGACATTCCAACAGCGTCTGGTCTACCCAGGTGGTGCTGATGGCCTCCTGCCTGCCTGTTTCTCGGGAAGCTCTCAGAATTGCACTCAACCCAATTCAGCACCTGGCCAGACCTGCCTATGGCCAGTCTCCTCCCACCTTCTCTGTTCCAAACAGTATCTAGAATCACCCCATTTTAGGTCTTTTAGTCATCTGGCGAGGTGGCTGTTTTCTATCAAGAGAGGTAGCAACGTGACCAGGGTGGTTAAAGCAGCAGGGGTGATTCTGGTTCGTGCCTACTGCTCAACTCGCACAGCTCCGGGAAGGTTCCCTCTTCAGTGAGTCCACTTTATTTCCAGACGCTCCATTCATTCCAAGAGTTCGCTTTCTTTTCAGCTAAATCCTTGGGCATAGAATCCTCATAACTCTGCCAGGAATGATGATAATTTATTGGACACTTTCGACATAGTTCTTAACCTAGTAGAGAAGCTGTCCTGGTGGCAGCCAACAAGGTAGCATCATCACCACCCTGACTCATACACTTGGCCCTGGGACAAGTTCTGGAATGAGCAGAGCTCGGGACAGCATGGGCAATGGGCTGACAAGGAGCCCTGCTCAGAGCAGAGTCCCATCTGATCAAAGCACGTGGCTTCCAGGACAAGCATCCAGACATTGATAATTTCTTCCTCAGTTTGCATAATTCCTCCAGACCTTTTGCACTTGCTTTCCATTTCCAAGTTAATGAACAGAATCACTCTGGCCTCTCCCTTTGTAGTCGCAGTCTTTTATCTCATTTGGCCTGACTTGGCACTTTAGTGTAACTTTTTGATGATATATATTTAGTTAGGGTTGATATCCTGAGTGCTGCCCCCAACAAAAGGGTTAAACGTGCACAGAGCAGAACAATTAAAAATAAAAGCAGGTGCAGAAGCAGTTGAATGAGGGAGCAGGGAAACAGGCATTGAGAAGCAATTGGGATGATGAGTTTCTGTCTTCTACAGCCACATTGAACCTCATCACGCACAGCGAGGGCAGAAAGAAAGGGTGAGTGCTGGGCCAGGGCCTCAGCATCACTGGTATCACTTGCTTCCAAGCTCTCTCATCTTCCTGACGACCACAACTCAACCTGCTGAAGCTGTGCATGGCTAGAATTGGGATCAATGATGGAGACGGAAAGCTTCAGTACTGTTTTCTGTTCTGGAACCCCAGACGCACAGCTGTGGTTACTATGAGTCACCCAACTCTCTGTTGTCCCTGACGAGCTCCCTGTTTCCTCCTCTGTCCCCATGGAGACAGAGGCATGGGGACACAGGTCTAGGTCTCGGTCAGGACTGAGCCATGTTACAGCCTGCCAGGCTGGCTACAGCCACCTGATGGTGACAACAGTGTTTGCCAGGCCTGAGTGGACCTCCTGGGAGGTTTCTCTTGCTGACTCTTGCTTGTCTTCTGTACTTTTCTGAGAAACAGGGAAAGTGGTGGAAACAGGAAAAGTAATGAAGGATGGCAGGTGAATAAATGAGGACATTGCTTGCATTTTGGTGGTAGCTCTGACCACTATGATAGAAAATAGCCACCTCGCAGGATGACTAAGGACCAATAAGATGACATGGTCAAGTGCCAGTAGTGTCCACCACATGGAAAACAAGTGTCTAGTAAATGTCATCATCAATATTAAGGCCCCCCTCTTGGGCTGCCTCAGGTTAGCATTACCCTTTCCTCATCTACGAGGGCACGGAGCTGTTGACTGTAAGCTGCTCCTCGCCTCCACTCAGCAGTCACCATGAAGGTAGAAAGCAATGAGTCCCTCCTTGTTTCAGTAATTCTTCATGTTAGTCATGTCAGCAGACAGTGATGATCAAGGACGGATTACCCAATAAGCAAGGTAAGCATGTGCTTAGGGCATCAACAAAACAAGGGTATCAGTTGTCCAAAGCAAAGACTCATAGATGCCAATCAGAAAGGACACAAGGAAAAGTAAGTGCCACAGTGGAAGGGAACTGGCAAGGCACTAACTGAAATTGGTTCAGCTCCAATGTGTGAGAACGTGCTGGCTGGAAATAAAGTTCACGCAGGGTCAAGAGGGCGCCCATGCGCAAGGGTGTTTAAGCTATGAGGCCCCTACCACTTTCGTTGACATCTGTCTCGTATGGCCCCCTCTTGTATAACAGAAATTCCTTACCTCAGAGGGTCTCTTCAGAGTATACTATTTCTTTTTAATAAACAAGAGGTGGGGGTGGGCTGTTGAGTCTAACTCTTGCTACATTCACCCAATATGCAACTGGATCCAACATGAGCAGTTACTGGGCAAAGATAGATTACATTAACAGATAACAGGTCTCTGATCCATTTTGAGAGAACTGTCTTGTACATCCGTGTCTGCTGATCCAGCAACTCTAGCCAGGAGGGCCAGCAATGCTCTTTGCCATGATACACACACAAGCGTGCTCTTGCACACATCCTGGCAAACAAACAATGACAATTCCAGTCCTAGATGATGCGCAAAAGCGAGGGAACTCGAGTAAGTCAACCACTGCAATTAATTCAATCAAGTTACTTTTTAACTGTATAGCATTTACATACAGAGTTATGTCCTAAGTTTTGAAAACAATAATACTTGTAAACTTTTAGTTTAAACTATGTTTGGCATACATGTAGATGCAATCTAGCATACATTTAATATAATACTAACATGGGTAATAATTTAATATACTACTAACATAGCAAACTTCCAAAAAATATTGGAAATATTAATATTTAACATGAAAAATTTTAATTTATGTATCAAGTGATTTTCATTTTTTATGGTCTGTTGTGCAGGACACAGTGCTTGATATTACTCTACATATGTTAATAAACAAGGTATTAGCCACATTAAAAGGATGCAAAATTTAATATTTATGTATCGTGCAAAATGTTTCTATTTTGCAACAATGAGCGTGTTTCTAAATTCGTCTTCCAAGAAAGCAACAAAGGGCATGGATAAACCTGGTGAAGCAGGCATCCAAGAAATTAGTGTGGGCTTATTCCGATGACTTAAATACAAACCTTTATGGAGAAGTGGGGCAATTTCATTCTTACATGAGAACTAAGTCTACAGATTCAGGAAAGACAAATTGTACTCATGTAGCCATGTATGACACCATAATAGAAAGATAAAATACAATGCCTATTTCCCCATGCTGAAATTGCTTTCTCCATATTCCTAACTTTAGCCATCACAAACTGCACAATGGAACGCCCATTTTCATCCCTAAAGAGACTAAAAAACCCTTAGCATACAACGATTGAAGAAAGACTCAATTCATTACCCTTATTACACACGGAAGCAGATGCTGTTTAGCGGCTTAAATGTGACAAAATAACCGAAGAAGTTGTAGAGCAAAGAATAGAAAGAAATGTTTTTAATTATAACATACTAGAGACGAAAGATCTATCTAAAAATAAAATACAGTATTTTGTTATAATATTTTTCTGACCATTGTTTTCTTTTATGACATCTTTTCATTTATAATTACAGCATTTATTTAGGAAACAAACATCAAAACTGAACTATGAGCCGTTTAAAGCAAAATTGGTGAAAGTCAATTTTTTGTTGTGGGAGATCACCAGAATTTTACATTGATTATTGGAAGACTGAGTTCACTGACTCATTTTCTTTGCTGTAGAATATGTGGAATATTCTCTT